TTACCCCCCCCCCCCCAGTCATGGATCTGGCCATGCTACATCGCGCGGCACGCTAGCAATCGTGAAGCAAAGTGGCTGAATGATATTTCAAGCGGCAGCTTCGCGAGTATTAGCACCGCCTAACCAACCGTGTTGTCTGTTATCGAAAGTTTTGTTCGACCGTAAAGAAAGGTGGGAACAAGCGAACTGTATATATGAGCTGAGATGCTTAATTTCTTCGATACTAGTAAACTCTCATCCAAATTTGTTAATGTTCTTTAGAAGAGAATCTGTATAGGTGCAGCTAGCAATAAAATTACCACCTCTTTCGAGGACGCAGAGGTCGCATTATAAATAGAGCATGACTCACTGCAGTTAGGATCTATTGAGAAAAGGAATGACTTTACAAGCTCGTCAGGGCATTAATACACACTCGAATTGAAGAGAAATAACACGGCACGCTGGGCTCTCTACAAGGTACTGCAAAAACTCAATTCTTTTCATTCGTCGCCCTGTTTTGACGTTGCCACACGAGGAATCTCGTCGGTCGACCCTGACAGCCCAAACGTTCGTACCCCTCAATTGGGAGAGAAGAGGCACGAAGTAAGCAACTGGTTTACTTTCCCACAGATATAGCATCTGCAAGTACCTTGGCATTTTTTAGCTTGAGATCAATAGGACCTAGCGCTCAAGAGATCCACTGTCACTTAACAAGATGGGATACAAAGCCTAAGGTATTGCTAGTGAGCATCGGCGTTTCAACCTTTTCGAGATCATAAATTGTCCTCATAAATCAGGAGTATTGTGTAAATGAGCACGGTGACGCGCTATCAACAACATTATTGAATAAACGCAGAGGCACTGAAGGTTACAAATTCGGATTTTTATCCGTGCGTCTGGCGTTGAGGGCAAAGTAGTCTTTACTACTTTTACCTTGAGGTGAATTTGAGGATTTGACAGCGTGACACGCTGTACTGTTCTTCTTCTGATTTCAAATGCACTCCTAATCAATGAATGGCGTGGCTTAAACGCTGCAAACCATGGATCGACTAAAAGTCGAAACCGCTCGGTGTCACTTTTCTCCTAGCAAACCTTTGGCGAGTAATGTAAGTACCTTTGTCAGGAATCAATACGCTTCTGGCGTGGGCACGAAGCTGCGATATTTTGCATTTAAGCCGTAAAACCGTCTGAATCTGAAAGTAGAGCTCGGAATGCAGAACCGACAGTGAGCCACGGTCTCTAGATTGCACGGTAAGAAGTAACAGTATCCGCAGTCTCCAAGATGTTTTTCTGATAAGATAGAATTCAGCAGTGGTATGTTGCGGTTTCAATAGTTTATTTTTGAGGAAATGGTGAGCCAGCTGTATGCTGACACCCCATATTTGGACAGAAAAGCGATACCGCAGTCATCAGGGTAAAACCCGTTGGAGATAGGTGGTCGCAAGTTGCAAGTAAAACCTCTGCTGATTTGGAAGAGAGTTTAATGTTTGTTACGATTTAACGTACAAAGTCAGCATTATCGTGTGGTACAGTTCAGCTCACTGATTGGTCGTGGGAAGGCTGTTTACTTGTTGACAAAGCATCCACGGGAGTTACGACTTGTAAGGATCTTCTCGCACCCTCCGCAAAAGCATTTTTTGACGTGTAGAAGGCTTCCAGAGGATATTTGAAAAATGCACAAGCTGGTGATGCCACGGGATTGCTTCGATTAGTACAGGATGAGTCGCTGGGCTCTTGTTCCGTTATTGGCGGCTTTGCAACCGGAGGCACAGTTTCACGGCTATCCACATGAATTCTATGAATGTCTTATTCTTTGTTCCAAGCATGTTACTCAGTCGTGTCAAGAGAAGCGCCACGCATGTTACATACGGATTGATATGTGCATCATGAAGTTAATTTGGTTCCAATAACTAAATGCTGCGTCACATTAAAATGTCTTAATCACGAGAGAGGTATGCCGACGTAGACGCCTTCTTTCGTGTGAAGCCTAATGCGGACTTGGTAAGAGGGGGCGGATCTCCCCACTCGGTAATTTTTTTGCATCAGAGAGGCTGTCGACACATAGCAAAATGTGCAGATGATAAACCATTTTCACAATTCCGTCGCAAACCCCGAGTTTTACAACGGATATGTTGCCGAACAGCATGTTCGGTCGAGCTTTTACCAAAGCTCCTGGATTAGTTCGCGCACATTATCAACTTCGCACGACCAACATCGCACCGCGTTATTCTCCGAAAGGGTGCGGTGGGATTAGTTGGTTACGGCTCAGAGACTTTCTGATACCGAGACACTCAAAGGCTGGTGACGCAGCAGTTTAGACCACATTGTGCCTACAGAATACAGTTTAGTAAAAGTTGTGCAACATACGATCAAAATAATTCAACTTCGTGCTTCGCACGAGAAATTGCATCTTTTGTGTCACACTTTTCCTTAAATAAGAATCATGTCGCTTGAGGCAGACTTTGGTTGAGAAACCAAGCCAATGAGGTGACGCTCTACTGTATTCGGAGGCAACACTTGGCGAGTCTCTTGTAATAACGTCTTTGTTTCCTTCAACGAAAAATAAAACCTCACAGAAACCTTGCGGACCTCATTGCACTCAGCGCTCTACAAGCGTCCGAAAAAAGGGACTTAACCGTGACGAAGGATATCTGAGCTCTTTCTCCGGTATCAGCCTTTCGATTTTGATTAGTTCGTCGTCTTGCGGCTGTTTGCATCAGAGCATTTTTGCGCTCTAGCCGGGGTGAATATATGACATGCCAAAGATTCACTGAGACAAAGTGCATGGCGCCAAGGATATGGCTTTCGGTTGATTCATGACTCATTGAGTTCCAGTCAGACCATTTCTTGGTATGAGATTATACCACGAAGACAAATCCTGGATGCGTTAAGGCATTACGTTTTCAAAATTGTCAAATCTCACCTGAAGACCTAGAAAAGTATTACAAGTGGTACCTTCACGTGACACGTGGCTAGATCACCCGCAGTCGACAGCCTTAATGCCTCCAGTATTGTGGACATTTTCAACGGTCTATCGTTTCGTGATCGTGCGAAAGTGTTGAGTCTATCAGACCTTCCACGGCTTCAAAAAGCTCGTGAATTCACCCCTAACATTTTACAGTTTCGGGCTTAGACCACCGCTTTTCTTGATAAGAGATTTGCTTCCTTTGGGGCCATAGCTATTGACATCGAGCACCACATGTACGGCCGAATGCAGTGTTTCCCCGTAGACAGCCCTGTGCTTACTGATTTCGTCGCAGCGAATCAGTCGGGCGGCTCTTCGCAGAAATTGACCTTCATACTCTCGACCAAAAGGGAATGGGACACTCGCTAAACTCAAGCATAAGCCACGTTCATAGAAACCGTTGTGATCTGGGCGGGACAAGCTCAACACAGGTTGGCCAGGGTCTCCGAAGTCTAGGACCGTGCCGCACATATGTTGCATATGAGCTGACGTGCGTCGAGGTCCACACGTAATTTTAATGTCCATGATGCTAAGCAGACATCCGTTAAAGCTTGTTCACGCAATCGTTGGTTGCAATGAGTAAAAGTCGCGCAACAACAGGTTTAATACAGTGCTAGCCAAAAATATGTAGCCATGACTATTTCTCAAAAAAA